CTTTCCCCTTTAAAGAAATGTTCCCTTTTTTTAAAAAAAGAAGGAAAAAGGAAGAAAGAAAGAAAGAAAAATAAACAACTTTTCCCAGCGGTTTATGAGTTTCAACCTCTCTGTCTTTGGTTCTCCCCCCTTCTCTGAAGTACGTGGCGTGCACGTATATCCTGTCAACAGCAGACCAAAGGCAATGTCGTGACACATTTCGAAATTGTATTGAATGATTTGAGTTTGAAATAAAGGAAACAAAACAGGACTTTTAAGTCTGGAGTATGGATTACGAAGTTAGGCTTCTTTGACACCGAGGCTCTAAAACGCAATTATCTGTTGGTTGTTACAACAAAGCATACACAAAAATGTATACATAAAAAACACAAATTGTAACGACGGGCAGAACAAGTTATTTAAAAATCTAAGATGGCAAAGAATATTCATGTTTCCTTTATCTCAGAGACTAGGCTTGGAAAAAGTTTAGTCATTGCAAAGTGGCTTGTAAAATTGGACACGCATGCTATAAAACACATCTATATTATGTTGGTTATACACGCTAAGTAAACACAAACAATGAACAGATTATATCAAATCTGATACTGTTACGGCCGACAAAAAAGTTACAAAAACTGAAGATGACAAAAAATAAGGATATTTCCATCTTCTCAAAATTACATTGATTTTGATTGAATTTAGACACTACAAAGGTTCGTGTAAAGTTGCACACCGTTCTTATAAAATACAATTAACTGTTGGTAGTTACTACTACAACAAGGCATACACAAAAATAAAAATAGATTAAAACCAAACTTGAAAGTGTAACGACCGAAAGAGAACGAGTTATTTAAAAATATTAGATGACAAAGAATTAAAGGTAGCGTTATTCAGCTTCTCAGATTACACCTAGGTTAACAGACAGTTTAGTCAGTATAAAGGTGCTTGTAAAACTGGACAACCATATATTGTTACACACAAGTAGGCCTATCTGTTGGTTGTTACAGCTAAGCATATACAAAACTGTGTACGTTTTAACAAGACAAACAGTGTAACAACCGACAAATCAAGTTATGTAAGAAATTAAGATGACAGAAAAATAAAAATGACTGTTTCCAGTTTCTCAGATTAAAATTAGGCTTGGTCACAGTTCAGACAGACAGAGGCACTTGTAAAATTGGGCACCTACGTTTTAGAACACAATCATCTGATGGTTTGTTACGGCCAAAATGTACTTAAAGAAAAGATTTTAAAGTAAATGTTGGAGTGTAACAACATACATAAAAAGTTACCAAACAATTGCAAACGACTAAGAAATTAGGATGTTTCCATCATCTCAAATTACAACTAGATTTCTTTAAAATTTAGACTATACAAAAGTGTAAGTGAAATTGCACTCCCATGTTATAAAAAAATTATTCGTTGGTTATTACCACAAAGCATATACACATAAATGAAACGATCATAACCAAAACTGAAAGTGTATTGACCCGACCAAAAAGTTACTAAAAAAATTACGATGACAAAGAAATACAGCCATTTCCAGCTTCCCAAATTACAACTTGGCCACGATTGCGATTTGTCAGCACAAAGGCACTTGTAAAATTACTCACCCGGGATTAAAACCCTAATATAACAGTACAAAAGACTTCAGTGAATAAACATCCGTACAATATACAGTGGTGCATAAAAGTTGTATAAAAGTATTATTAGATATGCATGTAAAAAATCAAAACTTTTGTGAATAATGCGAGAAATTGCGTCAAACTCGATGCCAACCCAAGAAGGTTATAAATAGACTTCTGAGGTGATTTTGCAGACTCGATTATATGCGCCAAGTAGTGTCATTTATAGGTAAACAAATGCATTCTTTGGCCAAGGCCTCAGGCCAAGGCCTACTGGATGGCGCTGCCCTGGGGCTGGCCCGGAGCTGGTGAGTCGGCGAAAATTCCCGTGTAATTTGATAGGGCCAGCCACACTGAAGATGGTGGAGGTCCAGCCTCGCGCTCCACCAGTCCGTGGCGCCAGGCCTGGCAGTGCATGCTCTATTTATTTTTCCGTAGCCCCTGGCTGGTAGATGTAGTGTAGCAGTTCCGATTCAGCATTCGTTTTGGCATTTTGTCAACATTTGTAGACAGGTTTAACAAAATTGTTAAATAATATATTGAAATAATGCATTGGTTGCAACATTATTCGAAACAATTTTAGTGAATTTTGTGTAAAATATGTCTTTATTTCACGATTTTGTGGATTTTATACGATGACCTACTTTCATCTACCGGCTAGGCGAAGACTTCATTACGTTTTCGTGATTTCAAACGTTGTTTGCCAATATGTGAGTGAATATTTTCTGTATGGTTTTGATATACCGATGGATTAGTTAATGCAGGCAGGTGATTGTAAGCCTAGTTAGATGTTGTTCTAGCCTAGATATAGAAATAGTTGTATGGCCTTGAACTGTTGTATCTTCGTACGTGCACTCTAGCCAAGTTAATAGACAAGTAGTACAATAGCCTAATAGGCCTACATTTAGTAGGTATGGTATTTCGTGTGTAATTTAAAAAACTTCTCCTCGTCATCACAGTTGGGGATATACTTGAGTGCCTTTTGGCGTTGATAGGTTGAATCCCTGATATTCTTCTTTTCTTTTTGCGATAGTTTCTTCAAAAGAAGTAAAACAATTATGGTTTCATCATTGTCAGACATAATGACTTTTAGAGAAGACAAATATAACGCAGGTTAAATGAAAAATACAATATGCAGGAACTGAAACTAAAACAACACCCGTGTTGGCCTAAAATGTTACCCAGGAAAAATGTTTACACAGGAGACACGCATCAATGACCTCCGTCCTAGTTCTGGAGGCATGCTAGTTTATGTTGTTCAATATTTTTTCCTTTTTGTATGCAAATCTAAGCAAAGTTAAATTACTCTGTAAAATTTCAGCAATGAATGTTCTTTCGTTAAAAACAATCGAAAAATAAAATTCAATTCATTGTGGGCCTGTGACAAACTGGGCCTGTGACAAACTGGGCCTGTGACAAACTGTAGTTTGTCCTGTGGGCTTGTGACAAACTGGGCAGTGAGCAGTCCCCCTAGTTCTAGCCCCAGCCCCAGCTGAACACACCAGCACTGGCACGTATCATGACTGGTGTTCCACCAGCCCCAGGCCAGCGCCATCCGCAGTGTGCCTTTCAATTCTTTATATTGTAGTGGAGGTAACGCTTAAAATAGTAATCATTCATGATAACCTAGGTTGTTGGCTGGTGCGTCTGCATTCCAAACTTGGTCTTAGTTTGTATTCTTCACGAGAAGGTTAAAAATAGCCTTATTCCAAGGGCGTTGCAACAAGTTCTATTTAATAACCTCCTTGCCTTTAAATTCTAAGTGCCATTATCCTGAAATATTTCAGACTGTCACCAAGACAGAACTGTCTATTTGAGCCCTGATTTTTTAAAATGATACTTGTTGAATACATGTATAGGGTGGGGGAGAAGGAAGGAGGCGGCCAGAGGTGACAAACCAGGACAGCGAGGCCTATAATAACACTCGGAGTGGGCTGGGGATTGACCTTCTAAATGTAATTATCCTACTTCTAGAAGTTACTAACAGAAACAGGTCAAACTGGAAAGATTGTACGCACTTTGGTCAAGCGTTCAAGCCCAAGCTATCCTAATTAATTTACAGTTGGCACCTTAGCCTATTTGTTATTTAACAAGGTAAGCACATAACATAACTTAAATAACGGTCTCCATTATAGCCTATTGATAACATTATAGCATAGTAGTAAGGTAGCAGTACAGTAGTGTTGTTCACAGTGAACGTCGAGTATTTATTTATAGGAGTAAAAGAAGTCTTGTGACGTGAAGTAGGTAGGTCGTTTAAAAGAGTGTTGTATAGTTTGTTATGTGCGACTCCTTTTGTTCGTAGGCTAATGTCCAAAGCCCCAAGGTAAGCTATTCATAAACATGTTGGCTTTATTCCATTAATTTACTCTATAGACCTAGGCGAGTAGGTGTGTGACATGCACGTTTTATTTTATTTCACGCGGAAAAGTCGTTTCGTCCATTTAGCTCCTATACCTTTTCGTTGGATCACACCCGATATTTTTTCAAATCTGAATAAAGGGTTGAAAAGTGGAAATATAAGGCTGCTCCTTGTATGTAAAACTGTTCACACAGACACAGATGATAGGGTAAGGTGGTGAGGGGGGGGGGGGGTCCTCATCTTACTTTTTTTGTTGGGTCGTAAAACAAATTTTATAGAGGCTATATTTCTCTTAAAAAATGACACATCACCCAAAATCGTTTAACAGTGGTCCTGAAAAGTTAAATCACACACACACACACACACACACACACACACACACACACACACACACACACACACACACACACACACACACACACACACACACACACACACACTTACAATGATATTATGAATTACATTATATCTCCATTTTTGTCATCTTTTTTACCATTCCTTCATTTCATATTTAACCCATTGAAGGTCTGCATTCTAGTCTGGCGGCTCCTGGCGGCGCCCTTTCTTGCTAAACACAGAACTGCATTGTTATTCATACAGACTTTTAAAAAATGTGTATGCAGAATTTAAAAAAGAAAAGAATTTTTTTTAAGATATGGTGCAGGTTTAAGGCCCTATCAACACAATTTAAGTTATTTAAGAGGGGGGAACCTCCAAGTTAAACGGCCATGTTCAATCAACATTGAATGAATTTAAAGTGGTATCAGAGAAAGATGTCATTAAGTATATCAAAGAGTACAAGAGTCCCCCGCTAAAACATGCGACTTTGACCCAATACCCACTTTATTGTTAGTTACGTGCATAGACGATCTCGCACCATATGTTACTCGTTTTATTAATATGTCACTCACCATTGGAATCGTACCTGATCTTTTCAAACAAGCCATTGTAAAACTTTTACTTAAAAAACAAGGTCTTGATGAAAACGATATGAGAAATTTTAGGCCAGTTTCCAATCTTAACTTTTTATTTAAAAATCCTGGAGAAAATCGTTTTGTGTCAAGTTCAACAACATCTAAAGGCCAATGACATGGAAGAACCTTTTCAATCTGCTTATAAAAGGTACCACAGTGCGGAAACCGCTCTTTTAAAGGTATCATCAGATGTTTTAAATGAAATCGGTAATAAAAAAGTCTGTGTTTTGGTTTTACTTGATTTGTCAGCGGCGTTGGATACCATCGACCACGAAATTTTACTAGAGAGATTGGAAAAGTCATTTTTACTGTCAGGTACTGTTCTAATGTGATTTAAATCATATCTAGAAAATAGATTTATGTCAGTGAAAATTGTCAATGATGTGTCAGATAGGTTACCTCTAAAGTACGGAGTTCCTCAGGGTTCGGTCCTTGGTCCTGTCATCTTTACAATGTACACGCTAAGTCTGTCATCAATAATTTCTTTGTATGCCCTCAATTACCATCTTTATGCAGACGATACACAGCTGTATGGATTCACTGCAACTGACAATGTACACAATCTCATAGATAGAATCGCCAGATGTACCAATGATATGTGAGGCGTGCTGACAAAATGAGTTACTTCTCACAATCCTCAAAAGCTGATATTGGCCAAAAATCGACACTAGGGACACATTTCTAGGTTTTCTCTTGATGTGATATTCATTGAGTACAAATGCCTTTTATCATTTCATACTTATAAATTGTAAAAACTGAACCTATAAGCATGCTAATGTATCTATTTTCATAGGGCTCAAATCCGAGAAGTAACCCATTTTGTCAGCACGCTTCACATATAAGAGAATGGATGCTCAGGAACAAATTAAAATTAAACGAGGATAAGACCGAAATATTATTTCTTCGTAGCAGCGCAGGCAATGAAACCGACAATATCAGAATAAACGTCAAAGGCAACGAAATATCAGCTCAAACTAAAATAAAAAATTTAGGTGTGGTGCTAGATCAAGATATGTCAATGAAATCCCATGTATCCAATCTTTGTAAAAATCTATATCTCCAACTGAAGAAAATAGGGAGCATTAGAAAATATCTATCTGTTGGTGTCACCAAAACTTTAATAACATCACTTATATTGTCAAGAATTGATTACTGCAATCCCTTACTAGCTGGTGTACCTGATGAACAGTTACAACAACTACAAAGAATACAAAATATTGCTTCCAAAATACTTACTAAGAAACTAAAGCATGATCATGTGACTCCTATTTTAAAAGAATTACACTGGCTCCCGATGAAAGAGCGTATCATATATAAAATCTGTTTAACTTGCTACAAGTGCTTACATGATTTATCACCGGACTATCTAAAACAGTTTATAACACCCTATGTGCCTTCTAGAACGCTTAGATCATCAAGTGACAAAACAACCCTTGTTAAGCCTAAAATAAATTACAAATCATTTGGCTAACGCTCTTTTTCATATTTTGCCCCACTTGTTTGGAATAGGCTTCCAAAAACTATCAGAGAAGCAGAAAATTTAGAAAATTTTAAGAAGAAACTAAAAGCATTTCTATTTTCATCATATTTCCATTAGACAGAATCCATCCAAGCTGTAGATCGTTGTGAGTTTGTATGTGCGTATGTGCATAATATGTACATATGTGTGTATGTGTGTATGTATGTGTGTATTTGTGTGTGGTGCGTGCGTGCGTGAATATGTGTGTGCACGAGTATGTAACTGTAACAATATGTGCCTTTAAAGTTGATTTGTAAATCCATAATATGTATAAGGTTAAGCGCATAGAGCATTGCATAAGTGGATATGCGCTATATAAATGTAATCCATTATTATTATTATTATTATTATTATTATTATTATTATTATTATTATTATTATTATTATTATTATTATGATGTCAGAATGGATCGAAATCGAGCCAAACGGAAAATTCTTGTAAAGTGCCTTTCCTAAGGACACAGCGTCGGGCTGAGCTAAGGCTCGAACCCCCGAACTCACAAGCTGACGATCACCAGCCCGGTAGCCTAACCACTAGTTACCTACAATGTGTATGCCTTATGGGAGACTTTGAAAGGCAGGCAATACTATGCATATTATAATGAAATGTGACAATTCGTGTTTTTGGTTTGTGTATGACGGTTCGCAAAGCATTTCACCTGCTGCCAGTCGGAATGTATACTACGTTCGTCACGGTTTCACAGAGTACATATATTTGAATTGCGTTTTGTAATTCAACACCAGCAGGAGTACAAGCGCCAAATGAAATTAAGCCTTTCATTGCAGGGCGTAACCATCTGCGTCTGTACAGCCCAAATGGTGTTTTAAAATAAATCCTTACGACGTTTTCTCTTATTTAGAATAAACAACTACATAGTTTGCAATTGTTTCTTCTAATACTAAACTGTCCCCCGTGCCGTAAACCAGAAGAAAAATGTCAGTGAACCAGTTTCGGAGAACACAAGGGAGTATACAACTGAGCTGAATTAAAGGTAAAACAAGACGAGAAACAGATTTCAAGGACTAAAGCTAAGCGTCAAACAGGTTTATGTTAGTTCTAGGAGCTGTAGTTAATTTAGTGAGGTTGTGGAATTTCTCCACTCTCCCAGCCTTTCCTTTTTATGTATACAATATTACTTCTATACAGAACAAGTTTGTGAAGTTGTTCTCTATTGGTGTAATATTGTGTATATATGTATTTAAAAAATACCTATGCATTTATAATCTTGTATACATTTACCTATTAATATTTTCCACTGTAACCCTAATTTCCTTATGGGACTCAGTAAAACATGTCATTTATTTGATATTTATTTTATCTATATTCTTTTACCTCTACAAATTCTCTATTCCCCTCTTGTCAAAAGCTGGCTGGGTCGACCAGCCTTGTCCAGTGCATGACCCTATTGCAAACTGCCGTACTAAATATAATCTGACCCTGAAAAGATAACAACCGGTGTACCACGACCTAGTTTCATAACCTTTTTGACAGTGCGATAACTCTAGTAGGCTACGAGGAGCAGTTGTAGTGGTACTCGTAGAAGTAGTCGTCGTAGCAGTCATAGCAGTCGTAGGTAGTGGCAACAATATAGCTACAGCAGCAGCTGGAGGAGCAGTAATATTACAATTTTTGTTACTATTATAATAGTAATATCATGGATTTATTATAATTGTGGCATTTATAGACGTTAGTGTCATTAATTTTTAAAGAATGCAAGAATAGGGAAAATAAAAAGGTTATATTATGCTATGCAATGATGATGATGATGATGATGATGATGATGATGATGATGATGATGATGATGATGATGATGATGATGATATACTATAATGATGACAATACATTATAATACTGATGATGATGATTAAGAAGGAAAACCCTTTTATCTCCAGCAATGTTAAGTATGACAACTGCAGAGGACATCCTTAGTAGCTTGCAGGAGAGTCCAGGCAAATGGCTGGTGACCCTTGGCGTGGCTGTGCCGGCCTTCTATTGCCTCTACTCCAGGCTCAAGACTAGGTCAGATATAATATATATATATA